TGTTACTTACAGGATAAAACACACCAACTGTTGTAGAAATAGGATATGGAACCAAGCTTAAGAAGGGGTCCTTATAGCCCCACAGCAGTTCCTTCAAAGTTCTAGTTTGGAACATAGACGATTTGGACTTTTTGATAAGGGAATTGAGGACAACTTGGACAAATGAATTTTGGTAGATATGTGGTGCAGCCTAGAAAGAAAGATTATTATTTAAGATATTAATACATGATATTTGTTATAAATGGATTAAATACAAAAATTGAATTTAATAAAACAATTTAAACTGAATTTTTATTATTTGCTAAATTCTGTCTAGACTAAAAATATAGTTTGTTGCCATTTTCTTAATCCTTAAATGATAACATTTCTCTTCCTCATTTCCTATCACACAAAGATATTCCAAATTGAGCCATATTTTTTTAAGGATACATTTTAAGGAATCTACTAGGGCAATTGATTATCACGATTATGTCATTTTAAAATGGCAAAATAACAAAATTAAATACTAAATATAATGAGATAAATTATGGTGGGCTCTGCTGTTATGAGGTTAATTGGCTCTGAAGGGTTTTAAAGACCAGATGCTCTGTCTACTCACTGCTACAGCCAGATTCAGAACCGTGAAGGTGTCATTCTCTGTTCCAACTGACAGTGAAGGCTCAAAGATGGCTCCTTTGGGCTGTACAAAAGAGACTGTGTTGTCCTCAGGGTCTTGAGTTATATTCTCCTTAGCTAGATAACGAACTCTGAAGAAATCAAAAAAGGAATTAATGGCTCATGTGACCATTAGGTATCAAATGTCTTCATTCAGTCAACAAACACTACTTGAATACAAAACATGTCTGAAATTATGCTAAGACCACAAAGTTACAATGATGACTTAGTTATTGCAATGTCTCTAGCCCTGTAATCAGAAGGGGATCTAAACTTTGGAACAAGGAGTTTGAATAACAGGACGAGGTGTGTTAAAATAAGTATTTCGTTGGGCTGATCATAGTGCAGGTAGGGTCAAGATTCATTTGGGTAACAGTTTCATGGAGTGGTTTAAGTAAATGGAAGTGTACTTAGGAAGGGCAGAAAGAAACAAGTGCAAAATAATGAAGATGATGTAGTTCGTGAAATTCATATTTTTAACTGTAATTTGACTATAGAGTGAGCACAAAATGTGTGCTGGGAAAGGTTGCTGAAACAAGTGAGATTTCATACAGAAAAGTGCTATTCATGCAATGACAGTCTTTATACTGAAGATGACAGGCAGATGAAGTAAGGGAATGCCGAGGAATTTATATATAGAGAGAAAAACTAAACTGGGCATTGACACATGCCTTTAGTCTAGCGCTTGAGAGGCCGAGGCAGGCCTAATTAACATTGAGAGTTACAAGTCAACTGGGGTTACAGGGAGACCCTGTCTTTAAAAGACCAGGAATAAAGCTCTTAAAGTGCATAGTATATCCAGCATTCCCTTTTATTTAAAGTACAGTGAGAACTAGAGATTAAGCATAATTTCCTGTTTAAAGGCTGCAGTTCAACTTTCTCCATTATACCTATTGAATTGTTAGTTATAATAGCTTGATTTTCACATCTTTAAGATACAAAGTACTAAAACCTTTCAAGAATGTGGTACAAGTGCTTATTATGCAGAAAAAAAATTTCTAAGTACAAGGTATGAATTGAAATGAAATAAGGTGGATATGGCTAATCACACTGTCTGTACTTGAGCATCTGGTACATGAGCCGAACGATAACTAAGGGAAGACTGAAAGAGCTTGAGACGTTTAGGTAAGAAACACACTGAAATTTTTCATTTACAATTTTTACTTTTTGTGTATGAGTACACTGCCTTCATGTATGTAAGTGCACCCATGTTATGCCAAGTCCATGGAATCTAGAAGAGGGCATCAAATCCTCTGGAACTGCAGTTAAGGATGATAGTTAACCCACATGCGGGTGCCAGGACCAGAAACCTGGTCCTCTGGAAGGGTAGTCAGTGAGTGCCCTTAGCCACTGAGACATCTCTCTAGCCCAAGAAACACATTTTTTTTTGTTTTGTTTTTTTGTAAGAAACACATTTTTTAACCCTAAATAGCACAAATTTCCTACAGGGTAGAGATTATTGGTTCCCAAGTACAAAGTGAATTTTCAGTATTTCAGTATATTTCTTCTTTTTGGTGCATTTTTTTTTGTTGAGAAAGGGTCTTGTTATATAGCACAAGGTGGCTTTAACTATGTAGGCCAGGCAGGTCTCAAATTTTATCTCCTCTTACAGCCCAAGCACTGTAGTTACAAACATAGGCCACCACACGTGGCTCTTATGAGGATATGAATAGATTTGTTAATGGCCAAATTATTTCAAAAAGTGGCCTTCATAAAAACTGGAACACCATTTTAATGTACTTTCAGCAAAGAATTATTATTTATTCTCTTCTGAGTAAAATAGATAATTGAAGAATCTAAAAATATCTGAAAAAGCACTCTAGGAACTCAAGTGCTCTAGCTATGCCATTTGTCTAAAATAATTATTTTAAAATTGAAATACAAATTATTAACATTTCAATATATCTCTAGTAATTTCAGAAACCCTGATAGGAGAAACAAAACTAATTTTGATCCAAATTTTCTGTAAGTTGTACTTGCAAAATGTTGCCAGTAGAGGGCACTCACTAAGAGCAAAAGCTGAAAGCTGTCTTTTTTTTTTTAAGTTTTTTTTATTTCTCTCCATTTTTTTAAATAAAAAATTTAAAATTTTGGGAAGCATCAGTTAATAAAGTCAAGAGAAGAAGCTTTCCCTCGTTTGACTCAAGACTGTTTTCTTAGTATTCCTGCCACAGCAAAAATAAATTTTAATGTTTTTTGTTTTTTGTTTTTTTTTTCTGAATCTGAGAGAATGCTTAAGGGATCACATCTCTAAGAGAGTTGCTGAGGGTTGAGATAATAAGTAGGATCTTAAGACAGTTAATTTTATTCTTTGAGTGCCTCTAACCTTGTCAACAAACATAATTTTAGCAGTCATCAGCTAAATTATCCCAGAAGGTTTTTTTAAGGAGCAACACTTTTCTGCTGTCTCAATTTTAAATGGATTCAGAGTGTGACTGATCGTGGCCATGCTTGAAAATAACACACAGAATATCCTCAAAACAGTAACTTTTTACAAAAAAGCAAACATTTTTTCCCTCTTTTCTTAGGGCATGTAGGCAAGGTAAAGAAACTCCAGTTTGGAGATGTCATTGGACAAGATAATCTATACTTCATCAGGCATCAGTTTGAAATTGTTATACAGAGAGGACTTTATTGTTTATAAAGTTTGCCTCTAAATCCTACACTTCTCAAGCTCTCCTGTAACTTATCTAAGCAAAGCAGATGGCTATAGCTCATCCCCTTTTGTCTTTTCCAGAAATAAGTCTTTTACAGAAAGAAGCTACAGGAACAAATTCATATAGACAAGCATCTATGAGAGTATAACGAGATGAGACAATACTGCTGCATTTACATTTCTCCCGATCCCCCAAATTCATAAAATGAAGATCTTTACCCCAAAATGAAAGAATAAAACCAAAAGAACAATAAAAAGAATGAAACAAACAAAAAACTCTTCAGAAAACATGAAAAGTGCTAAGATTCTAATAACAATTCTCCCTTCCTCACACTTGGTGATTTCAATCAGATTATAGTTTTTTGTAGATTTTATTGAAGTTTTGTGTAATCATTTGCCAATAGTTCTTTATCTAATGTTGGGGCCTACTGTCCATTTCCCCAGTTCTATGCTGGGTTTTGTCTGATTGAGTCTGCATGGGTCTTTTGTGTGTGGATACAACCGCAGTAAGATCATATGAGATTATACTTTTTAAAGCATGAATGGTTAGACTCTGTTTTTTGCATCTCATATGAATTACAGATTTACATAGATATTTATCTTAGTGATTGCACTCCTTGAAAACAATATATTCACACGTTATTGATAATAAGAAACAAAACCATGAAAAAAAATTCTCCAAGTTAAGCGCTCCTTGCAGTAAGGATAGCCATTTTTTTTTTGACAGACTGAATAGTTACAAATATGGTTATTAAGTAGCAGACTTTTAAAGCATCCTAGTTCATAAATCATGTGTTGGATATCAGTCTAGAAATATGCTTTGGAGAGCATGGAAAAGTATGAAATCATAAAATGTTTAAAACAGATAAGAACTGCACCTATGGATTATAAAGTAATAAAAGACAGAAAAAAATCTGCGATATAAACTGGTCATTTAACACAAGGTCTCCTTGAGAGAAAATTCAGAATTTCATCATAAGACAACTCTGTTTCTATATGAAAACAAAGCTACTACTATTTTTTGGTCAGGATAGAATGCTTTCGGCACCTTTTACTACTCTGATATTTGAAAAGACGTAAGTCTACAATTAAAATAGAGGAAAACGTATGCCCAAATATGAATTACCAATCCAGATGCTTTGTGAATATAAACAAGTGTCTTCCTAGTTGCTGATGTCAGCTTTTTCTTCCTTAGAAAATGAAAAGTTCTGACTCATTATGTCCCCCAGATCTAATAGTGCGAGATTCTATTTAGAAGTATATTAAACTTTTCGGAATGTAGTGTTGCCCGCCTTTAATCCCAACACTCTGGAGGCAGAGGCAAGCTGATTTCTGTGACATAGAGCCCAGCCTTGTCCACCTAATGACTTCCAAGCTGGCTGGGACAAGGTAGACCCTGTCAAAAAAAATACAGAACAAAACAAAGAAATTCATTAAACTATGAGGGATGTAATATAAGATGTGTAGTATGGTTTTGGTAAATGAGAAAATATAAGGTTGAAATTCCTAGGTAAACCTAAACACCTAGATGACATTAAAATTAGTTTGAATACCAGGACTTAGCAGGTATTGTTTTTATGTACAATCATTTTAGCTCTATATCTTTCAAAACTGAGTGTGCATGTGAATTACACACATGGATTCAAGATCACAGGTAAAGTCTCTGACCAACTTGGTGTGGTGGTTGAAAGGTTTAGCATTTCTGTCAAGCCTCCTGGTGATGCTCTTGCTTCTGGCCCAGGAGTCACACCTTGACCATCAATGATGTGAGATACATATTTCATTTTGAGATGTGAAATATGCAAAGAAGTCCTCCCCTGCTCAGCATTCCTACTGAAGAGTTGAGAACAGGACAGAAGTGCCAAGCAAAACACCTGTAAGTTCTTCAATAGGGGAGTTACTCGATGCTGGTAGGTCGATAAAAATCTATATATTTTTCTACAAAATATTTCATAATTTTGGAATGTGTGTATATATATGTATGCATATGTATCATTTCACTTACTAAATCTTTGAATTAAGATCCTATTCAGGTAGGGAAAAACACTTCAAGGAAAATTCTTAGCAAGAAAATAAGTACATTGCAGTACAATGGAACTTGTCAGGTACAGGCCTGCCTGAGAACAGAGTAATTGCACAACTGACTTTCGGAACTCACCTGTATGTGTAAGGACCTCTTTGTTTAACCTTGATGTTGCTGCTGTTCACTGCCACTTCCTGTGGATTTTGCACATCAAAGATCCAAAACTGTCTGTAAACTTCTGTGCCTGTTTTAACCCAGTTTTTAAAAGCAATTGTACCTTCTTCAAGGACAACTTCCTATGGTAGAGAAAAGAACTTTGGGTTATTGTTTGATAGCAAATATAGGTACTACTAGGAGCCTGTTAATTGTATTGTCACTTAGAATAGAGCAAATTAAAGTGTCTTACCTATGAGAACCATTGTAACTTTGGTATATACTTGAAGCAGAAATGTTATCAATGTACACAGTCCTCGTTGGTTAACCTTGTATGAAGAGAATCAGCATGTAGTATGCTTGTTGCTTTTAAAGCAAGCATTAGAGTCAACCTATGATGATTCCAACCTTAGTAACACAGGAAATTAAGCATATTTTATCCAAGATGCCACAAAATTTTTGTTTACCAGTTGATTCTGCCCTTGAGTATGCATATTGATGAAGCAAAGCAGAAAATTCTGGTAGTACTGAAAGCTTTTTTTCAAAACTTTCTTCCAAAGCTAGGCAATTCAATAAATTACACCTCAAATCTTATTAAATAATGACCATAAATGCTTATGGATGAAAGAAATAAGTATGAAATTTTCAGTTTGGTATCCTGTTCATGAACCCTCTATATCTTAATAAGTTTGGAGCAACCCATGAATACATGTCTCCCCAAATTACAACTGCTTAATTTGTCATTGACAAAATAAGGAAGCTGTCCTGCTGTCTTGTGTGTGTGTGTGTGTGTGTGTGTGTGTGTGTGTGTGTGCGTGCATGCGTGCGTGTGTGTGTGTGTGTGTGGCATTAAAAATCATGGATGCCTGTTTTACTGAAAACAGACAAGTAGATACTATAGTAAACAGAACTGAAATGCCTTATATTACAAACTTGTCTCTTGTATACGACCTTTAGGACCAAGTGGAAAGTCACTAGTCACTAAATCCCTCAGGGTCCATTTCTGCAAGGTGAAGGAGTTACCACAGATGCCAGTCCATTTTCTTTCCAGGGCTTTCCTTCTCTGAACAGGAAGTCTATAAAGCCATAGTAACTAGTGCAAACAAACGAGAGTTTGTAGCTGGTAGAAGTTCCAGTTAAGTACTTTGGGAAGAATGCCCACATTCAACAATGTGCAAGAAGAGGAAGAAAACTTCATAGAATATGAACCCAAAGAAATTCACGAGTACAGGGAAAAACATGACCTTTTTTAAATTCTTCATCAGGAAGCATCATTTCACAGAATGATGGGTTCAGGAAAGAAAAGCAAACATTCTCATTTTTGTAGAGCATACTGGGGCTTTTGGAAAGCAGGTGGATGGTTCAAGTGTAGCCTAGGCAAATAGCAGCACAATCATAATGAAAATCTTCAATTCTGACCCTTATGCAAATTTTCTTTTACATCATATTGTTACTGGTTTCCCCATCACCCATTCCCCATCCTGTCATCCTTTGCACTTAGTTGGCGGAGGTCGTTTCATATCTCCATGATACTGCATTGCTTAAGCTGAGAATAATGGAAGTCCTTAGAGAAATACTGGGCATTCAGTTAGGATGTTATTGCAAAATCCTGTGCAGCTGTAACATGCACACTAGAACAGGAGCAGCTCATGTGATATTCAGATCTCTATTCCTTTTCACATGAAAGTGTCATTGAAATTTTCTTTTTTAATTATTTATTTAATAACCACATACTTAGAAGAAGCATTTCATTATAACAGCATTGACATATTCAATAACAATTTCCTGAGCTAAGATGCATCTCTTTCAAAATTGGCTGTAAATTTTTAGGTTTACAGTTGAATTATTACAGTTATACAATATTGTACTCTACAAATCCTGTAAGACATAAAATTAAATGAGGGTTTAATCTTTTAAAAAGATCTCCATTTCATTATTAAAATACATAGTTTCATACAGCAAAATTCATTTTTAATGCAATTGACATTAAGATGTTTTCACATGTATTTCTAATCTCTATATATCTGATATAAAGTCATCAGATAGATTTCAGTGGTAATGTTTTTTCACATCTACTAATGATTAAGGAGAAAATTTTTATGCTTTGAAGAATTATTATTTTTAATCATCTTTTTAAAATTTTAATAACTACATGATTAGAAGAAGCTTTTCACTACAGCTTTAACATATTCAGTAATGCACTCCAGAGCAAGAGTACATCTCTTTCACAAGTGGCTACAAGTTTCTAGGTTCACAGTTGAATTAATACAGTTATACAATATTGAACTCAGTATAAGCCCTGTAAGACATAAAATTAAATGAGTTTTTAACCTTTGAAAAAGATCTCCTTCTCATTTTAGAATATATTTTTCCTTGCAGAAAGACTCATTGTTTTTACTACTAACACTGAGATGTTGGCACATGCATCTCTAATCTGTATGTATCTTATTATTACTAGTCATAATCGGTTGCACTTGTATCCTTGGCTCCTGTGTATGTCTATAAAGTCATCGGGTAGATTTCAGTGGCAATGTTTATCACCTCTACTAATTAGCATGACATAAATTTCGATGCTTACTCCTCAAATATATTTTTTAAATTTGTTGATTTGTGTGTGTGTGTGTGTGTGTGTGTGTGTGTGTGTATCACACAGAACATCCCAAACTATCTTATAACTATACATCCACTTCCCAGATGGCACCCTCCCATAGTCTCCCTCCTCCTACTACAGCCTTTATACTCCGATATCCCTGCTACTGTCTGCTGTGTTGTCGGCACCCCAGCCATTCCCCACTACTTGCCCTTCTGGTGAATCTAGTCAGCCTATCTAGAGGTCTTTGTTTTAGGAGGGTCAGCTGTTCCTCATCTAGCAGCAATCAGTTGTCAATATTCCTTTAGATAAGTTTGGGGTCTGCTGTTCATTTTCCCAGTTCTATGCTGGGTTACTATCTGGGAGTCCCCTTGGTCACCCTGGCCAACAACTCAAAAGAAGGTATCTCCTATCTGGCATTGTTGCTTGTTATGTAGCCTTTAGCTATGTATATGGACTCTTAAGAAATTTTATTGGCCCCCTTTAATCTTAGGTTGTACTTTCCTTTGAGGTGTTTAAGGCCATACAGTTGGCCCAGATAAAACCAATTTATTTTTATTCTTAAGGTCCTTTAAGGATCTGTTCCTCAGGGGTCACATGGACTTGGGAAGAGCCACTGGCTCTTTTCTTTTACCAGTTCTGCCTATGTGAAGATAAGTCAAAAGTCCTGCTCGAGGCCATGGCTGGCTTCACTTGGCAGCATGGAAGAAACGATTCCTCTATGTTGACCCTCCTCTTTGTAGGCTGGACACCGGTTCAAGTCCATCTGGTGGGGTCTCCTTGGCCTCCTTGATCAAGAGGGCAGGTGACCCACCACCATTATAGGACATTTTGAGAGATGCTCATAGTCCCCTGGAACTAGTCAACCTAGGAGGGCAAGGAGCAAAAAGTGTCCTTTATGTCCCTCTGACCAAATTATTATAGGCCTCAAAGTATGTCTGTTAAACATCCAAGAATGTTAGTTCTGCCAGTCTGGTACTCTCATTTGCTCCCAAAATGTTTATTTCAAAGTAACTAGTCCAATGCTAGGACAAAGTGGCAAAAATGATTGAGCATACTCTTCCTGTGGTAATCACAAGAATCTTAGGGCCTAACTTAATTCCTATTATTTAACTTGTGTCTCTCAAAGAACATGTTTTATTTCAGGACTTAATTTAAAGAAGTCAGTGAAATTTTATGGAATCAGAAAGGGTTTCTGTCAAGAAAAAAGGCCCTGCTGACTTCAGCGGAAGTGCATCTACATCCCTACAGATATTGCCAGGATATGATGTACTTTTCCTAAAAGTTATTCATAATTTTGCCTTATTTGTTGTTGGAGATACTTTTTAATGGAAAAGTTGAAATGAATTCCTTGAAATATCAACTGTAAGCCTATGCCAAACAGGAGATACCTTCCTTTGAGTTGTTGGCTAGGGTGGCCCAAGAAACTCTCAGACAGTAACCCAGCATAGAACAGGGAAAATGGACAGCAGACCCCAAAATTATCTAAAGGAATCATTGCCACTAGATGAGGAAGAGCTGATCTTCCTAAAACAAGGGCCTCTAGATAGGCTGACTAGATTCATTGGGTGGACTTGTCCTGGGGAACGGCTAGGGGAGCCGACAACACAGTGGACAGTAACAGGATGGGCTACAGTGGGGGAGGGGGGCTATGGAAGGGTGACATTTGGGATGCCATTTAGTATTCAGGTATAAAGATTAATAAGATTGTTTGGGATGTTCTGAATGAAATACAAAAAAATCAATAAAATATATAAATGCAATAATGAGGCTATTTAAAAAAGAGTCAGAAAAATCAAATTTTTAAAAGTAGGAAATGGGTCTAAGTAGAACAGAAATGTGATTCCATGTTACATGACTACTCTATGGCACATAATGAAGACACTGGGTCACTTTGCTAGTTTTCTGTCCTTCCAGTGATACTGTGATTTCTTTAATGACAAAGAGAAAAATATAAGACTACAATTCTTCTGATGCTAACACTAGTATATGCATGTGGATTATATAGTCATTTCTTGAATGCTAAGATTAAATGTTACAAGTTCCTATAATTTTAAAAAGAGCAAAAGATCATGTGCATTTTTATATGAATTTTAAAAAGGCTGGCTTTAAGTCGGTACACCTACCCTATTTTGCAAATATTGTATGAGATTTAAAGTATAAAGGTGATAAGTTCAATGAAAAATATATAATTTAAGATCCTCTCCCTTGGCTCATATAAATCAATATTTTCTCCAGACACCAAACATGCAGACAGTCTTAACCCAAGGAATGGCTGACTTCCAACCAGTGGCTCTTACATGGCATGGTCTCCAGCTGAGTTGGAAGCCATTGATCTTGAAACTCCTTTTCTTCCACATTAACTTGAAAATACATGTTTGGGATTGTAATATCTTCTATATGAACAAATACTCATTTGATTATTGCTGCTACATTAAAGAATACTCAGTTAAGTAACTGCAAAATTTGGTGGATCTTCCTTTATTGGAGTAGGTGAAGAACTAACAATTTTTTTAAAGTCTCACTTGTCAATAACCTTATAAAGTACTAACT